CGGATTTCTACTTGTTAATTACCTGTTAAATTACCTGTTTTACTTGTTTTAAAAAGAAATATCATTTGATTTCTTCACTGATTTACTGCTTTAAGTGATTTTACTGCTTGATATGGAATTGCTTTGTGCCTTTACGTATTTTCATACTTTCAGCCATTATTTGTAATTATTACTCACTGAGTCGGAGTACTCACATTACTCCCTGCACCATGTGTGCAGATTCAGGCATAGCAGAGTCCGCACCTGAGCGTTGATTCCTTCCAGGCTAGGTAGTGATTTGGAGTTACGAGGTAGCTGTTGACGTCCACAGTCTCTTGTCTCTCTTATTCTCTATCATTTATGTTTTCTTCAGACTGTAGTATCGGATTCCGTACTTTGTAGACCTATAACAGAGTCTGTAGTAGCTTATGACTTGTGACACCCCGGTTTGGGCTGTGTCGGGATGGTTCATGCTGTTATTATCGTTAAATTCCGCAATTTATGAGCATTATATTATATGTTACTACTGTTTATGATGGTTAACTGTTTAAAAGAGGTGTTCTGTTTTGGTCTGGCTGGCCTTGTCTTCACGAGAGGCACCATTACGACCGGGTTCGGGGATTTGGGTCGTGACACATTAAGACCAATTGATAACCCTCAAAGGAGACTATATATATTCTTATAACTGAAAAATGAAATAGAACAATTTATCCTCGTTATTCTTGTTAATTATATTATCACCCAATTGATTGCTTAAACTATTTAGTTAGATATGATGCCGTCAAATTCAATTGTATATATTGATATTTTCCAGTATCTAATGAACACATGTTAATTAAGCTTCTAAAATCATAAGATGCATTAAGAACAATTGACAAACCACACGTGAGAATTTAGGAATTCTTATAATTAAAGAAAGATAAATAGATATTTTTCGGGAAATATATGTCTTTCAGAACTCTTAATTTAAAATAACAAAAAGAGCCTTTTTAAGGGAAAAATTTCACATAAGAACAACTGAGATCCTTACTTTTCCATTTTATAGCCCATATTTTAATTTACAACCAATTAGCCCAAAAATAATAGGCTAAGATTCAACATCCAACTCCAAAAGGTTCTCAAATTACTATTTAATTTTTAAAAACGATTGCTCAAGCTTTTAAGTTAATTTTCGAATCAATAGTTGTAACCCAAATATTAGTTCAACAAACCAAATCCATTTGGATGGTGAAAATTAGATTTTTAACAAGCTTAAATATTTGAGTTTAGATTCCGAATTTGATTTTGTGAGAAATTTGGAGTGGGTATTATCTAGAATTGTTAGAAACAGTATAAGGAAGTTGTATATAAAATTTGAAGTCATTTAATGGAGATTTGGACTGATTTTGAACAAGAATTGCAACTGAAAATCGTGAAAGAAATTCGTCTACAGACGCTTGTATAAAGGTGTATAAGATGTGTTTATACACTCATATACACTATTATACAAGATTATACATAATTATACAAAAAACTGACTTCATCTTCTTCATTGCGTTTTTTCTGAAATTTAACTCAAATTTACTCCAAATCACTTCAAATTTAAATTTTGAACTCTTTTTGACATTTTCATTCAATTGGAACAACACCCAATCCAAACAACTAACAAACTAAAAAAAATTATTTTTGAAAACCAAGCTTTGAATGGCCTTCAATGGTGGAATGTTGAATCTTCAATTTTCTAACATTTCAACCAGGTGACACATGGGAGAAACAGTAATGGCGGACGACTCCTTGAAGCATATGTAGAAGATGTGAGAAGAAAAGAGAGTGAAAGCAATATTTGTGAGAATATAGATTTAACTCCATAGCTCTTGGAAGCAATGGTTGTAAGAAAACAAAATTTAAATTTTCTAGTGCTTTCAAAATATGTACAATATAGGCTAGGTCAGGTAAAACTAAAAAATATGCGCCATTTTTTGTTATGGTGTGAAGCCAAATATATTTTCTTATAATTCTTTTTTTTAAGATACATCAATTACTTGTAATAATATTTTTTGCATTTGAAAAAATATGGAACAGTTCAATACAACTCTAATATTAATGGCCTTTAAATAAGGAAATCTATATAAGGTAAAAGTGTTATTAGATTTTAAATGACTATTTTGTCTAGTGTAAAATCTTTTTTTAACAGGTAAAATAAGCGAATAATATTTTGCTAAGTGTATTTATACTTTTAATATAGTATAGATAGATAAATAGATAGATAGATAAATATAGATTTTAATGCTCCAATGATGAGATGTACAGTTGCCCCAATATTTTGGGACGGTTCTAGTTAAATCTATCAAAATGTTAACGTTCCATTTCAATAAACGGAGAGAGAAGAAACCAAAATTCAAAATAACAATTTGCTAAAGAATTTATTTTGCCTGTTTTTCGCTTTTGGTTATAAGTTATAAAGCAAACCAAATAAATGAACAATGAAATCAAAATAATATAATTAAGAAGTACAAATTGTTCTAATTTTATAATTGAAGAATTTAACAGGAGGACATATTTAACATCATTGAAAAGAAATTTTATGATGAGTTTCATTTTTCGATATATTATTTTAACGTGTAATCAAAGTTTCAAAGCCATACAATTTTAAAATAGTCAATATACTAATCTAATTGTGATTAATTTACATGAATTATTATTTCAAATTGAGACATAAATTTGTATGCATTTACATTAAAAGCAGTATATTGAACTTTTAGAGGTAAAAGAAGTAAATGAACAATAAAATAAAAAAGTTTGTACTAAATGAACCTCACTAATAATTTGACTCTTGAATTAAATATTTTAATTAATACTGTTCAGGTCATCTATAAAATGCCCTTAAGTTACATTATTAAATTATATTATTGGCAACAATATTATTTTTGTTTCAGCCATAAAGTGCCTTTGTGGCCAAAAATGATTTGCCAATTAAAATTCCCAAATTTTATGCAAAAGGCGGGAGGACTTCCCCCTCTTTCTTTTTGTTTTTGGGCAAACCCTTCCCCTCTTTTGTCCCAACCCTTCCCCAATTCCCCCAAACGCTCCAGCTTCCAAAGAATAAGATCTGAATGATCCTTTGGCCTTCCCTCAACCCAAAATTCCTCTCTCAACCCAAAATTAGGGCTTGAAATGGTAAGCTTCTTCCCCTCTTTTTCAAGGTTAGGTTTTTATTTGATTTTCATGTAAATTTATAGAAAATTTGTTAGATTTGCTAAACTTTGGGTACAAATGGATCCTTATACTTCCGCAACTCGAATGCTTTATCACTGGCAGAATAACTTCATGACTTACTATCAAATCCAAAAAATTTCGGTTAAAATAGAAAATACAATTACCAGAATGTATTATTTTCTATCTATGTATCAGTTTAAAAGGCACTGAAATAATTGTAGGTTGCAGCTCAATTGATGTGGAGGATTTCGAGAAAATTTATCTGCACTTCCCATATGCATTATCTCATTGTTTAATTTTCTAACTTATTAGGTTTATCTTGGTTGAGCATTCCCAACTACATACCTCTTGGCATGTTTCTTCATAAACCTTTTCAAGCACTTCCATGATTAAATTTATGAAGTTGGGATGTTTTTTGATTTGGAATTAGTCTATTAGAATATATATTATATTTTCTTTTCATTGTAATTATTTATCTAGGGACAAATATGCATCTAATTTATAGGTGTTGTATGTTTTACCAAATTTCAACTTAACAGAATTTTGTTGTTATAGCACTATAATGAAAAACCTTTCATTCCTTGTTTATGTGATTTACTTTGCATTGTTGAAGCCTTCTTTTACTTATTTGTTAAACTTTTTCTTTTTTATTGAACATATTAGCAATTTGTTAAATCTTATGTGCAGGGGTGAGGGGCTAATATTGAGGTTAGACTCTTAATGTCACTTCAATTGAATGACCTTATATCTTTAAATTTTTTGTGCATTTGTCCTATAAGCTCGTTGCAGATAAATATTCTTTTTAGTAATCTTGTATGGCTAGGGATATGGTTAAGACAGTAATAATTTTATATAACACGAAAACTCTGGCCTAAGCATCTTTTGCTTCTCTTTTAGATTGACAACTTAATATCAGCTATGCCATATACAATTTTATTCTTTTTTAGGGGGGTGGGGTTGGCAAAGTTGGGTGAAGAATAGTTAGCTGTCCGCTTAATTTTTTCTTTTATAAGTAATATTCAGTTTGTTTTCATTTTGAACTCTTAAATGATATTCATTATTCTTTTATCTTAAGAATGGTGCCTACACATAATACTATTATGTTTTTTTAAGTTTCAGAGTAACCTTTTTATATATGGTGGCTCTTTCCATATGCATCACTAGTACATGTATTCTTATATCGATATTAATTTTTGTCATTAACAAACAGATATTTGGAAACAAGAGAGGTTGCTCTAATGGTAAGAAACCTCCACTTCCAACCAAGAGGTTGTGAGTTCGAGTCTTCCCAAGAGCAAGGTGGGAAGTTCTTGGAGGGAAGGATGCCGGAGGTCTATTTGGAAGCCTCTCTACCCAATAGTAGGGGTAAAGTCAGCGTACACACTACCCTTCCCAGACCCCACTAAATAGTATACTTTGTTGTTGTTGTTGTTGTTGTTGTTATTGTTGTAACAAACGGATATTGTATATTTACTTTAATAAGAGATGAGAACATGTAAAATGATTACAAAATCTTTTTACCTTTGAATTTGTTAATGGTGAACTCTTCGTACTCCATAGAGGGATATGCAAAGGTATCAACATTCTGTATTAGTACTACACTTGAACTTTATTTTTTTCTTACTCTAACTTGCATCTTTTTCAGCAAATCTATTATTGCATCCTTGTGAGACTATTAGATTGTCAACTCATTTCCTTTGTATTTTATATTTTCGTATTGTTAACATTGTCCTACTTTCCCTTAGTTCCTTAAATTGTTGAACAAAACAGCATCTAGAATTCAATTGGATGCAACATTATGCTAATAAGGAGCTATTTTCTCTAACTTCAATCAAGGTATGTTCTCACTTCTTAATGCTTACTCTGTTTCATAACAAATGCAATATGTATTCAGATAGAGAATATTTTTTCTTGAATTTGGTTCCTCTAGGGAATTCAAGCATTGCTCCAGTGTATTTTTCAATTCTTCTGTGTAAAAGATAATACAAGTTATACGTCATGGTTAAAAAATTTATGGTTTGATTAGTTTCTGAAAATTTCATATCTGGTATTTCATGTCACAAATTCTGATACTATTGGAAATGTAACGAGTTATTTTGAAAAATATGATAAGTTTAAAACGGAGCAAATTTTATATGGTTACAATATAATGATGCTTGATTGTTACCCAATTGAGAATTTGTGTCTCTGTATTATGTGATTGGTAAAAGGGATTGTCACACCTCCTCTTTACTGCCTACACCCGCAAAGGGCGTAAAGGAGTTTTTCCATTTAAAGGACAATCGAAACGGGATTTAATTATTAATTATT